TCCCTCCCCACAAACGCGCGGAGGCGCAAGAAAGAAAGAGAGAGAGAGTGAGAGAGAGAAAGAGAAGTCTAATGGTGAGAAATGCTTCCACAAAGGCGATGTAAAGCGGAAAACGGACCCCGCATAGAGGGAATCCAGAACCGCGACGTGCGAGAGAAGACTCGCGTAAAAAAGTGATTTTTTGTATTTACTTCCTTTTCTCTCTTATTTTTTTTTAGCGTACCCAAACGGGGACAAAGAAGAAAGACATGACAGAAGCAAGGCGGAAAGTTCCGGCAGATGTTCGCGCGGGACCTCTTCAGGAACCCCGGCGCCACGCTTTTGGAAACAGCCCGCGGGAAAAGCGAAGGGCCCGAGTGCCCGATCGCAGCCGCGCGCGATTCGACAGGCAGATGGCACCCCAACGAAGGGCGAACGACCCCAGGAAAAAGCAACAGCACAGACGCGGAGCGAACCGGGAGAGGAAAAAAAAGGCATCCGGTAGGGTTGCTGGCGGCGCGAGGGGCATGGTTCTGGCACATGCCCTTTTTTTTTCTTTTTTTTAATTTCTTTACCGGTTTTGAAGTGAAAGAAAGGGGAACTCCCGCACAGAAACCGCGCCTCAGTTGCACCGCCCGGTCCGAGAAGGGCGCCGAAAAATAAGAACGAGAAAAGATTTGGTTTTTTTTTTTTTTTTGTTTAGAGCGGAGAACGGGCAAGCGCCGCCACTCCCGGAGGTGGATTCCGTCAGCGGAGGGGGCGGCGCCCGTTAGAAATTTGGGCCGGGTGGCGGAAACGCAGACCGCCGATTGGCCCTTTTTTTGTTTTACCCCTCCTTTCGGAAATTAAAAACGTTTGTTCTGATCAAGGCGCGCTTGGTGCCCAGAGGGGTGGGTTAAACAGAGATTGCGCTCAAGCCATGCATGAATTTTGAGAGAAATGGGCTTTGCTTGGGAGCAGAGGGCGTCATTGGAGCACCAAAATATTTCATCGCTTGCGGGTGCGTTTACCGGAGGTAAGGGCCTTATTCGCCGGAGCACGGCGAAGATCAAAAACCAGCGTGATGCCTTTAAGGGCCGATGGGAAAGGCGAATCGGGATTGGCAAAGGTTAGGCCAACAGCCAACCGCCGGGCAAAGGGAATTAGAGAAGCGGCGTTCTGCGCTTTAAGAAACGCGCGCAAAACGTTCCCCAAAGCCAGCCTAAAAGAAAAATGGACGGCCTGGAGGATCCAATGGCGGGAATCGCTTCTTTTCGCGGGCGGCATCGGGCCCTCGAGGGAAGGGGTCTGGTAAGAAAACCGACGGCCCTCTGAAATCGGGGCGCCCTCGGTTGGTGGGGTTGGGAATCGGGCGCCGCCCTCCGCTGCCGCAGAATGGCGGGGGCATGCCGTTCAGGGGCGGCGGCGGCGGCGAAAATAAGGAAGGAGACGAAGGAGTGGCGGATATGACAGAAGAGGGGGGGAAAAATGATCCCGCCACAGGGCCCCAGATTGCATAATAGGGAAATTTCAGCTCGGGAAGCAACTTGGCGAAGGGAGTTTGATTTTGGGAGGCAAAAGCCCATAGAGGTTAAGGAACCTTTGAAACCCTTTGCGCCTAAATGAAGCCAACGCCGGAAACAGCCCACCCGCCCCCGTTTACAAAGGGTGCGGGCGAAAAAGCGTCGGCTAATCTTCGCACCGCTTTATTATTGGATGGGAATTTTTCTTTCTCAAAGTCGCTTGCGCTGTCGTGGCTTTATGCGGCTTGAAATGGCGCCCACGTTTTCGTAAAGGCGACGCAACCTTTGTCTGAGAAGAAACGGGGTGCCAAAACCCTTTTTTTCCTGTGTTGCAAGCTTTTTGGCTATGTGCCATCCGTGTGCAATGCGCGGTTGCGGAAAACAATGGGCCACGCCACGACACCCATAACCAAACGTGGTGCTCAAAAAACTTTCGAGGGGCTTCTTCCTGTCGTTGGTGAATCTGGGGAGGGGCAGCTCCGATTGCCAGGTCCCCGCCGGTTTGCTTCGAAAGGCCGTAGGGCCCCGTTTGCACCTTGTTATGCGCGCGGCGTCTCTTAATCGAAGGCCCAGGGGTTCCACATCGCTCACCAGTGGCGTTCAGCTTTGGTGCAGCGAAACCCCGGCATCTCCCATTTAGGAAAAAATATACGCGGATAGCAAATGCCAACGCGAGCAAGATGCAGGACACCATCGATGTGGCAACGGAGAGACTCTCGTTGGCAGGGCAGTTTGAAACGTTTTGCCGAGCTCACACGGGAAACCGGTGAAAGAGGATAGCGCAATAGCTTTTATCACCGCAAACGGTTTGGACCCATTAGCAAATGTACAGTAAGCACGAATGCTGAGGGTCACGATGTGCTTGGAAACAATGCCCATGGACATGGTGAGAAAGGGATTGCAGGAGATGGCGGCGCATTCAGAGATAAACTAGGACAGACTATTATCATAGCACTAGAAGGGCTAGAGCATTTCAGCCGCACACGAATTAGAAGAATCAAACAGCGTTCCGCTTGCCGCAGATCACGGCGAGCCGATGGTCGGAAATCGTAACTTTGACGAAAAAGAACTTTCTGCAGGTCGGGTGTCGGAGCTGTGATTTTGGATTAGGCCGTGGTTACAAAAACGGCAAAAATGGATCCCCATAAAGCCTCCCGCTTTATAAAAAAGATTCAGGGCAAGGGCGCGTTTGCTCCCATACGACTGCCGGCCGCTTTGCGTCCATAAGAGTATCCCACACATTTGACAACCAACAACGTGGAACGTATTCTGGCTTCATATGGTGGCACTGCTCATTCGAACAAGTGCGGTGCATTGAGGCAAGTGGCAGAGTTGCTTGAGGTTCACGGCATGGATCCGCACGCGATCGCGCAACTCGCAAAACATGTGAATCCGTTCGACCTCCCGCAGAAAATGGCTCGATACCTTGTCCACCTCCCACAACCTGCTTCACTACGACGCGAATTCTGCCTCCGCGACTTCGGCAACATTGGTGGTCTCGCATGCCACAAAAAGTTTAAACATCCACCTGTAACTCCAAATTTGCCAGCAACAATACAGGTAACGTTTCCACGCAATAAGAAACGCCAGCGAGATACGTCGCCATCAGAACGTGAGGACAGAGAAAAAGTCCAATGCGGAGTATGCCAGAAGTTCTACGCCCACCTAGTCTCCCTCGTAATACACTGCAGAAAATTCCATGAAGGAGAGGGTCTGCCCCAAAAAATCGAATTCCACCAAATGGGCAATACAAAACAACGAAAACAAGAGACCTTCCGGCGTTAGTCTTCCCCACATGTGGTCACCAATGTGTATGAGTAAGTCAGGCCTAACTCTGCACCGAATGTCACGTCACGGGTATCAATCTACTCACGCGCACACCGGCCAACGCGACGAATGCGAAGAAACAGCTCTGCATCTCTTGAGTTGCCCCGCTCTTCATCCACTGCGAGTTCAATTTGCGATGGTTGATGATGTACCCCTGGTGAAACTATGTTTTTCTAGGCGGTTAGCACAGTTCCTTATTGCGGTGGAGCGGAACCACACTATGCCAGAGTTTTCACAACCAAGAGAAACCCTACGCAGCTTACCTCTCCCACCCCTCTAAAATCAGCGACGAGCTCTAATATGGAAACCGTGATAGAAGAGTAAGCTCAAGGCCCCTGTCACTGACCAAAACAAACAACAAAATAAATAGGAGTTCATTGAGGACAATCCATTATAAAAAACCCAAAAATAATAACAAAAGGAGACTTGAGGACGGGTTTGGGGTAAGAACAGTGAGGATGGAGAGATCTGGTAGGGTTTACTCGATCAGATTTCTCGCAGACTGGTTCTCTCGTTTGGGAACGGGCTACAACCAAAAAGCATATTACAAGAGCTTGAGGATCCTATTAAACGAAGGGATCTTCTTTTTCAGAGCCACTCTTAAGTCGGTAATTAAGATACTCTACGGTGTGCGGCTGATAGCCGTACCATTGGAGTAATATCCACGAAGACGTGAAGAACAAAAATAAAAAACAAATCCATGATAATACGGGGTCCCATGGGTGGAGGGGTGGAAAGGGGATATGTTTGATATTACCCTCCTAAATATAATCATGGAGGGAAAGAGTGTGGAAGTACATGTGGAGTTGGGGATGATCTGTGTCCGTAATCGCTGCAGCGGTAGCGGGAATGTCCCGTCGTTTTCGTGCTCGTGCAAGGAGTGTATTCTCATGAACGTTGTTTGTGACGTTAGAGATGCGAACAACATTGTATTGCGAGCAGTGCTAATGCAAACGAACTACAAACAAACAATGCCACAGTTCTTGATTGTGTAGGTTCTGATACATGTGTTGATGTTTATGGAGTGCGCTCATTTGTGCGTGTGTGTGTGCCAAAATAGCTGGTGGACGTCTCGTAGGCCTCTCTTTTTGCGTATTTAATATTCTCTTATGTATGGTATTTGTTGGACCCTGTTTGGAGGTGGTGTTTGGTTTCTTCGTCGGTGTCGTGTTCGTGGATTAACCGCGTATTTAGAGAGCGTGTTGTTTCTTCAAGTACTTTGTTTGAAAAGTGGGGGAAGAGGTGTTACTCGTTATCGGTGTCTGTAAATGTTTCTTTGGTCGAACTTTGTGGGGTTTCTCAGTCGTTTCCCCCTGGATTGCCCTCGTGGTGGGGGTTCGTCACATCTGTCGGTGTTTGGTGTTTTATTTCTGTCGTGGTTTACTGTGGGAATTGCGCGAGTTCAGTCACCAGAGAATTCTTTTGCGGCCAGGTGTGTGGTCGGAGATATGGTGTTTCCTTGAGGAGGAGGACATCTGTGTTTGGTGTGTGAGTGGTTGACCGGAATTGTGCGATGCGGGTATGCTGTAAATGTTACTCCGGTTATGCGTTCGTGAAAACATTGTTCTTTGGTTTTGTTTGTTTTTGTGCCTGATTGCGTGGACATTGTTCACGGCGTCGAGGTGAACTTTTCGCCGGGTGTTGTGCCCCCGGGGTCGTGTGTTCATTCCGAATATTGTTGATGTACATTTTTCTTTTCCCATCGCGAGTGTGTTTTCACATCCCATGCAATGGTGGTTGTCCACGGTTTTCGGTGTCGTTAAGGTGATTTGCAGTTTCGGGTGGTGCCGCCCGACTTTAGTCTGAGGTTGCTCACCTAATGGTTCCTGTGATCTCGTGGTGTTTGGGGGGTTCTATTTCCGACTGGGTCATTCGTGTGTTTTTGATATCCGCCACGGATCCAGTACACACAAAGAGGAACGGAAGACGGGCGTGTGTAATGAACGTGTGCGCACAATAGACACTCACCATTGTGATGTGTTCATGAGCTAATGGTGGGATGGTGACAGCCGTCCGTGCGGTTCTTTGCAGTAAAGGGTGCCGATGTTGAGTGCGCCCGTGTTGCAACTACAGGGAATTTGACGTGTGGATGTTGTGATGGCTGATGGGTTGCGGTGTTACATTTAACGTTCATGTGGGAGTGCTCCTTGAGTACTGTTTCGTGAGATGGGGTCCTGTGTTTGCTGGTATCTCCTCAGTGGTCTTGTGCCAGTTTTGGGGGGATGCCGCGATCATTCGAGCAATGAGGTTGCGCTATCGGTGAAAGATAGTCAGAGAACACGATGTATATTATTGCCGAGTGGAATAACTGGGATCTGCAGGTAAATTCCCATGGTGTTGTTTCTTTTTTTATTGTCTTTGTGGTTTTTTTCTTTCGTAATTGGGGGTGTGGTTTTGATATCCGCACGGAACCTGGGGTGTAATTGTTTTTTTGTGAGGTAGTAAGATTGATTGCCTGCTTCGCGTTGCTTTGTTGTTGTGTGAGTGGTTTGTCGGTCATTCATTGGATTATTATGATGTGATGTTGCTCTCTTTCTGCGTTGCTGTTTGTTTCTCGGTGTGTTAAATGTGCGTCTCTTTTCTCTTTTTTTTTCTTCTCTTTTTTCCTTGTTACCACGGATCCAAGCAACCCACAGTGATAATCATGACAACGATGTTCATCCAACTGCGCCGTGTGGTGTACTTGTTGGTACTTCTGCAGTGTTGTGTGTGTGCAGTATGTGCGACGAAAGTAAGCGGTGGTGGGCAGGATTCTTCAACCATAATGTCAGATAAAGCAGATGTGGATGGGTTGTTAAACAAGGCGGTAGAAAAGGCGATTGAGCGCATTGGAAGTATGGCTGGTTGTCTGGATGCGTTAGTGGGTGAAGGGGAAACGGAATCATTCGAGGATAATTCCAAACGTGCTGAGGCTGTTGCGAAGAGTATGGAGGTTCTTCTTGAAGAGGTCGGGAATTTGAAGGAAAAAGGAAAACCGAAGTGGGAGCCAGAAGTTGAGTGGAAAGAGAAAAAAAAGACGATATTGCAACAAAAAGTACAGGAATTTCACCACGTGAGATCATCACTCGAAGAAGTATATCTTTTGGTGCATTTATGTAGGAAGCCACTTAGGAACTTGGATGAAGTTATGGAGGGACTTGCCGACGCTCGAAAAAATTTTTTGAAAGTACATGAAAACAAAAAGGATAGAACGCCGGAGGTAATGAAACTCGATAAAAACAGTAGTGTGGTAAACCGAACGTTATTTGACCTCTCGGAACGATTCAAACCTGAGGATGGTGAACTCAAACCACTCATGGATCTCGTAGAAGTCATGATGGACACGGTAAAGGCAGTGAAAGACCTCAAGAAGTCTTTGGAAAGTGTACCCGAGCTCGTAACTGTTTTAGAAGGCATCAAGGAAGAAGACTTGCAAAAAATAGAAGAGACGAAAGAGAACAACGTCATTAAAAAACTGGAGGAAGCAAAAGCAGATGCAAGAAAAGAATTTCTGTCTATGGTAGAGAGGAGATCAATAGAAGGAAAGGAAGAGAATGGGATTGAAGAGCAGTCGCCAAGGGATAAAGAAGAGAGAAAAGAGGATGAAGAGCAGGCGCCAACGAAAGTAGTGGAGACGAAGGAGAATGGAGACGGAAAAGCAGAGGGGATAAAAGAAGAGGATGGAGAAGGGGCGAAGAACGCTGACGAAAAAGCAGAAGAGAAAAAGGAAGAGGATGGAGAAAGGGCGAAGAACGCTGACGAAAAATCAGAAGAGAAAAAGGAAGAGGATGGAGAAAGGGCGAAGAATGCAGACGAAAAATCAGAAGAGAAAAAGGAAGAGGATGGAGAAAGGGCGAAGAATGCAGACGAAAAATCAGAAGAGAAAAAGGAAGAGGATGGAGAAAGGGCGAAGAATGCAGACGAAAAAGCAGAAAAGGAAGAAAATACCGAACAAGGTCGGGCAGAGTCCAAACGTCCCGAAATAAATGGGGGTCAGGTAATAAGTGTAATACAAGGTGTTGACAGCAGCAGTGGTCCTTCATTGGTGCACAGTCCCTTAATGCTGCTTCTGCTGTGTGTGCTGGGTTGCACTCTCGTTTGCTGATCGTTGTTCCCATGACACAGCTGCACAGTTAATCTTTGTTTGAGTGGACATGGATGCGTTGTAAGGGCATTGTTCTTTTCGGTTGGATGTCAGCCTTTCTTTTTTCTCTTCCAGCACGATAGATCTCTTGTTTGCATTTTTTCACTGAACACATCCATTGGGCTCCCTATGGCACTCATCACATGACAAACCATCATTTTGTGAGGGGAGTGTCCTCTTTGTTTGTTGGCATTATTATCTGGGATCTGTTTTGCCGCCATTTGCTGTGTCCTCCTGGTGATGTGTGTGTGTTCCGTGATTTTACTAACTATTGCTGTTACCCATGGGAATGGGATACAATCCCGATGTGTTGTAGTTGCCGTGACTGAAATGTGAAGAATGGCAGGAGGTTCAAGACACAAACAAACATGCACACTACCAACCTTCCTTCTCTTTGTGTGTGTGTGGACTGTCATCATGTGTGCATCATTTCCATTGCTCGCCCTGTAGGAAAGACACACACACACCTACTGCTGGGAATTGTGTTGCTTGCCTCCTGAACATATTCACATGATGATCATGGGTTTTTCTTTTCTTGTATGTTTCCATTATATTGTTTTTCCCTTGTGTTCGTGTGTTTCATTATAATTTCATTGCACATTATGTGCAGCTGTGTGTTTCTCTTTTGCGTTTCCAATATACACCTTGTGTGTCTTGTGTGTTCATTTTTATGGAATGATTCTTTTTTTTTCATTATATACAAACTGCTGCACGGACGTCAAGAATAAAGATATGGGCACGGTAGATTCAGTACACAATGATTTTCCGTTGTTAACCTCGGGGTGGATTGGGCTGTGTCCAGGCATCGCAGTCACATAAAGAAACGAATTTCTTTTTCTTCTTTTGCATCTTTGCTCTATTATTGTGTCTGCTTCATGCAGTCACATTTTTTTTTTTTACATTTTTTATTTTGGTATAAAGATTGGTGGGTTGTAGGTGTTTGAGTGTGCCCCTCTGTTGTGTGTTCCTTTGTGTGTTTGGGTTACTACTCACACCGCCCACGTAATGAAAACACATTTCTTTGTTCTCACCTTCTCTCTTGGTGTTGTCACTCACGGTATTGCCACGAACATATTTCTATCCTTGTGGTGTGTGGTTTGCTTGAGTGACTGCAACCCGCGGGGAGATGGACTGAGACTGATCCGCTTCGGCTTCACGTAATGGGTCTGTTTTTTTCTTTTCTTTTTTGGGGTTGAGTTGATGTGCTGGTGTGGGTGATTGTTTTTCTCTGATGGGAGTTGCACCTGTGATTATTGTATTCTGAGTGTTTTGTCTGCTGTTGGTATCCTGTTGTTGTTGTTCTTCTTTTCTTGTGTTTTTCTTTTCCTCTCTGTAGGTGTGTGGCTTGGTGTACATTTTAGGGAATGCCGCAGTGCCTCTCTGACATGAGCATGTGGGACTGTCATTGTGTGTGTGTGGACTGTGAGTGGGAAGGACACTTTTGTGTTGCTGGACCACTCCACTGCGGCGTCTGTGGGGTTTGTGTGTAAGCGGCATGCTTCGCTTCGGCCGGGCTCGAGGGGCACTTTGCGTCCCGAGGCGCTGAACCTTGAGGCCTGAAATATCATGCTCAGGGACTTTGGACTTGAGAGAAAAAGAAGAGTGAGGATGAGGAAAAAAAAGGATGAAACCCGGCAACCAGTCTACGCGCGTAGTGCTCGAGGCTCGTTGTCGGGTTTTGCCCTTTTCTTTTTTTTATCCCTCACCCCAAGAAGGGAGAGGAGGAGAGAACACAACCCCACAACCCAAGGCGGGCGGCCAACTTGTCAGCGTCTTGTGCGCAAGAACAAGAAAAAGAGGGGTGGGGTGGCTGCTCCCTGGGGTGTTTCACTTACAAAATGAGTGGGGTTGGGCATAGTGGAA